CTTGTGGTAGCCCACTGTTTACTTCTCTCCATGTGGATGTAGTGCCGTTGAGGACTACTCGTTGAGTACAGTTTGCCAGCCAGTACCAGATCCATCTGGTGGTGATGTTGTCTTCAAGGTACAACAATTCGTTTAGTGACCATTTGAAGTTACAAAGGATCTGAAAAAAGTGACTTGTGACCGTTTTCACACACTTTCGACTGTTGCCATGTGATAAAAAATCAGATGCTTGACAACTGACTCATATTTATGACGGTTGCAGCGTCCCGGGGTCACGTGATCCCCTTTTGCGACCTTCTGACAAGCAAGGTCAATAGGGGAGCCACTTAACCGTGTCACTAACTTTAATAACTGCAGTGATTCGCTTAGAAATTGTGGCAAGAAAGGTCATAAAATGGGGCAAAACTCATTTGGTTATTAAATGGACAGGAGACCACCAGGTTATGAAGTTTTTAAAAAAAAATCTTACAATAGTGGGAAGTCATTTTTGAGCTTCAACAAGGAAACTAGCTGGATTTGTTGATGATGTCACCACAATTGAACTTAACAACATTTTTATTCTAACCTGGGCTGATCTCCAAACAATTAAGCAGGTTTCAAACTGCTTTGGGCCTGAATGAGATGCCACCAGGCGATCTCGGTGCCACAGACCAAAGGGTGAAGTTGACAAACTCTTTCTACCCCTTTCTTAGCGTTGCCAAGAATATGTTGAACGTGTCCATTCTTGAAAGAGACTTGACTTAAATTTGAAGGTAGTTCTAATTAACTTGCTTTTTAAAAAGCCTCTTTTGCTATTTGAGTTTTCATGTCATTATCTGCCTTGAGCATTTGGCGGTAAGATCATAACTGCATGGAATTAAATATGAATTAATCTTAACTGAAAGCAAGGATACAGTTAATCAACCATTAATAAATTAATTAAGTCAGTACGAACCTTAAGCATTGGGGCCACAAATATTTTTTTATCCCACGTAGGTTGATTGGGACGTTGGTCTGATTTTCATTTGCCTGCAAACTGCCCCATTTCCCCCCCTTTTAAATATAGGCAACTCTTGTGCACCTGAGTGGGAAAAAATCTGGTTTTCTGGGCGCGTTAAGGGACACTCTTCATTTTGCCCAACCCACAAGCCGGTTGCTAAATTAACCTGTTTTTTTAGGTTCGCCCCGTCCATTGGCCTGGTTCCCACAACATACTTAACCGGGTTCATAGAGAGGTTAACTGTCTTGTGGGAATACCAAGAAGGGTCCAGCAGAGCCAATCTGCTAATTATCAGGGGTTTAAATTTAGCCCAGAACAAACTCTGGCTTCAGCTAATTCCATTTTCTCCTCTCTCTGCCTTCCACAACACGCAAACGGGGTCAGGGCTGTTTTCAACACAACGGTTTTGCTTTATTTACAAGCCTTTTTTTTGTTGTTGTTGCATGCTCTCTTTCAAAGCGGTTGGGCCCTTTTTGGGGAGGAAAAGCAACAGAGAATTTGGTTTTGCCCTGTGGGTCCTCCAGGAAAAGGAGATAGATAGAAAGAGCGGCTGAAATGAGGCTGAAAGGGGGAAGGAAGGAAGGAAGGAAGGAAGGAAAATGAGAAAGAAGGAAGCCCACTGGATGACTTTGGGCCAATCACTAGATGACAGTGAGTTCTAGTCTTGTCTTAGGCGTGAAAGCCAGCTGTGACTTTGGGCCAGTCAGCCCAAACCCGCCTCCCAGGGTTGTGGGGAAAAAAGGAAAGTGTGTTGGATGTTTGCCACCTTGAGATATTTGTAAAAATAACGAAGGCAGGATACAGATAAACGCAGATGGTGGTTGCTAAATCCTGATGCATGTAGTGCACCGCATGGACTCGGCTGGAGTTTGTTCATTAAAACCATGGCTTAGCATCCTGTAGCAATTAGCTTGAGTTATCCAAGTTCTAGAACAGCCTTTTCGTTTTAATCTTTTTATGCAGCCCATTTAGATGTGTGTATATGTGTTTGTGTGTGCTTATGTGTGAATGTCTGTGCAAAGAGGCAATAAACTGTGAGAGAAGAGTCATCCACTTTCCCACCCACCCCCAGTAATGATATAAATCCCTCTCAAATGAGCTGAATTTGGACTCAACTCAAATCCAAGATTCCAACTCTGAAATGTATTTTTTAATCTGCTACTACAACATAATGCTGCAACGCCCACATTGACCACTAGGGAGAGCTCTGGCAATTGCCTTTTCAGCTGGACTTTACCGCTGGGGAATTTAAACTGGGGAAAAACGAATTAAAATTATATACATTCTTTTAAGAAAAAGTTAAAAAATGGAAGGGAACTCCTTTTTGTTTAAATATTAACTTCTGATTTCAATACACTCTGTTCTCCCGTATTTCAATTCAGATCTAAAATGGGCTTTTTCAAAATTTAAACCACGATGAGCTAACATGATATATAATAAAACGATTTTCCTACTTAAGAAAAAATAAATGAAAAAAATGATAGTAGCAAGTGCATAAATTCATCAAAAGCCATCAGTGACCCTTAGAAACAAAAATGGTCATCTATTTGAGGTCAGAAAGTAAATATCCTTTCCAGTTAAAAATTATAAGGGGTGTCAAAAGGTTTTCATATATTATGCCCATTTTGTCTGGGATTGGGAATGTTTCTAGCTATGTTTTAGTAACAGCTCCTATAAAAAAATGTGTTTGTGTAGGCACACATGTGCACAGTCACGCACACCCATTAATTTTGAGGCCAGCCTCTAGTTGGTCAGAAAAATCTTTTTATTACCTTCATTCATTTGGTTTAAAGAAAGGGGTGTGTGGAAAACACCACCAAGTGGCGTAAAGTAGAGATAACAAACTCCACTCTAGATAAAGAAAAGAGGGAAAAACAAACTTTAGGAATGCAGCCACATAACCATGTTTCATAGATCCACAAGAGAAAAAAACTTTTAAGCCCTTTCTCAAAGGCACTCCTTCTGTTAAAAAAATTAAAAAAAGAAACCCAAATTGAAATAAACTCTCCGAATCCATCAAAGCTTCCCTAAGCATAAATAATTCAACTTTTTACAACTCCAAGTTTGCTCCAAAAACTAATGAAAAAAGTTTTTTTAAAAGAAGATAGCAGATGCTCTTTTCTTCCAATCTGGTTGTCTTAAGAAAATAGATCATTCTCTTTCCTTCTGTTCATTCATTTGAATAAGGCTTGACATCACCACAGCCTCCCCAAAACCTTTTAAAATGTGAAAGATAACTTGCAAGTTTTAAATGCTTTCCAGACAAGGGCATTTTCAGTCAACTTTAGGTTAGGCTCAACTTAAAAGGCTGGGCTGGCAGCAAATCCCCTTAGCCAAGGGTGACTCATGCACTTACTCAGGAGTAACAGCAACTCAAGAGTTGCAATGCCTCCCCCTCCCCCAGCTCTAAGCTCCTTTTTGTAAGGACAACACAGCCACATGCTTCCCCCTTTTATAATTGGCCTTTTTATTAAGATTATAAATTTAAACAAATCTGAACAGTTTTACCCGGTGATATACAATTCAGTATGCACACACACACGCACGCACACGCACACAAAAATATACAGAGATACAAAGGGAGGGTGGGAAAAAAAAATAATGGTTTTGGCAATGAGTCCTTTAATACACAGTGCTGAATGTGAAGTGGATGGCAGATTGAAAAAAAACTACCTTTTTACAACAAAAGGCTATTTTCCTCCCTTCCCTTGCAAAATAATAATTAAAACAAAGAAGACAAATTTAATTCCCACCCCCTTCTCTTCCAAGAAATAAAAAAGGGTTACAGAAAACACAGATTTTTTTATTATTATTTTTCCTGCACACAGGACTGAACAATGCTGGCTGGTTGAGGAGTGTTTTTTTTAAAAAAAATTGGAGGAGTCGTTCAACACTTTAAAGACACAAAAATAGTGAACTCGGGAGCTCTTAAGAGCTGTTTGCCTCTCTTTCTTGCACACCTCCCTTGGGAGGGAGGAAGCAGACAGCTGTGCAGGATGGGAGCTGTTACCTCCCCCAAAACCCATCTGCAAATGGAATACTTAAGAGTGTGTACTGCATGTTTGTGTACATGCAAGGGAAAAATAGTAACCATTTCCAAGTGGTCAGTTGATACAAAAATCACCCTCTGAAGAAACATTTCTTTCTGCAGCTTAAAACGTTGGGGATTTTTTTTTAAACAGGGGAAGAGGGGAGGTCCATGCCCACTAAAGGCGAGCCTCTTCCCCCCCCCAAAAAAACCCCTAAGCAGCTGCAGAGAAGTGGAAAAAATGCATACAGTCCATTGGAGTTGGGGGCAGTGACTCTAGAGCGAAATCCATTCAAAGCCCAGATTTTCAAGGGGCTTTCAAAATAAATCCTAACTCTGAAGCTTTGAAAAATATTTCTCACCCCAGCCTTACAGCCAGGGGAGGGAAAATCTCCCTCTTTCCAGGCAGGGACCTCCCCTCAATTTTCCAGTTTTTTTTCCCCACCGCCCCCCTCCATGTAGGCAGAACCAACTCTTCCTCCACCGAGACCCCCCAAATTTCGCCTTTTCCCCCCCATGCAGCATTCGCGCTCGCTCACGGTCCCACCTTTCCCCCTTTTTAAAAAAAATCAAAAACCCCTCCTCTTAAAAAACACACACACAAAAAGCAAGGAAATCAAAGAAGGCTTGGAACCCAGAAAAAAAACGGGGGGAAAACCCACCCCTCCAACTCCAAAGCGCCGGGAAATCAAGAAACAAAGGAAAAGTTATTCGCCCGTCTTCCGCGTTCCTCGCTGCCCGAATCGTCTCGCCTCTGCTCGGCCGGCCGTCCGCGGCAAAAACGGAGCTCCGGTGGCCCCGGGGAAAGTCCGCGGTCCAATTTCAGAACACATTCGCTCGGTTCGACGCCCCCCCTGGCCCAAACCTTCCCCCCCTGCCCTCCCCGCTCCAGCCCAGAGCCCCGCCGGTCCAGTCTTTGTTTCGGGGTCTCCCACCCGCCCTCGGTCCGTCCCCCGCGTCCCCAAAGGGGCCGAGCGGCGCCCCCGGCCGCCCTCAAAAGGCCACGATGGCCCGCGTCCAAGCCCCCAAGCTGGCCAGCGCCTGTTTGCCGCACAGCTGTCCGCTGGAGAGCTGCTCCGAGTCCGACGGCGGCGCCGGCTGGGGCGGCCGGCTCACCAGCCCGCTGAAGCTGGAGCCGAAGATGGAGATCAGGCTGGAGATGTTGGAAGCGTCCGGCGAGGAGGAGGAGGAAGGATGGGAGCAGGAGGAGGAGGAAGAGGAGGAGGAGGAGGAGGAAGGCGAGGGCGCCGGTCCAGCGCTGGGGAAGCCTTCGAAGCGGGCGCGCTTGGCACAGGAGGCGAAGGGCGAAGGCGCACCGGGCGGCGGAGGCGGCAGAAGCGGCGGATCCCCAGCGCCGCCCGCCGGCTCGTACTTGCGCTTGGCGCCCGGGCTGGGCGGAGGCGGCGGCGGTGGGCAGCAGCAGGCGGCGGCGGCTGCGGAGGCCACGACGGCGGGGACGAGGCCGCCTGGCGGGCAGGGCGCGCAGCAGCAGTCCTGGTGCAGGTAGCCGTTCTCCACCGTGGTCACCACGTGCGTGTCCAGGTCCAGCACGGTGGTGCGGCTCGAGCAGTGCGCCCCGGGCCCCGACGGCGGAAGCCCCGAGGGCGCGCACGAGCCGCCGAAGTCAGTCCCGAC